GCACGAAAGGTGACTGTTTAGAAAAAAATACAGATTTAAAATAACGGAAAGAATTTCATTTTAAACCTAATGGACGGACGATCCTTGAGGGAGATGCAGTGCGGAAGGCTCACGTAGAGATCGATCTTTCGTGTTTCACCTAGGGCAGGGGTCGGCAACCTTTTGAGTCGGAAGAGTCAAAAATGGCAATTTACAAAATTTCAAAGTTTTTAAAGAGCCACACAATTTTTTCTTGACAACAATAAATAACAGAGGGCTGAAAGGTTCGTAGGCTGACACATAGATGGCGCTACTAGTATTAAAGCCATATGATTTTTAGTTAACCTAAACCTTCAAAAGACATGTGTATAATTTGATAGCTATTGCACTATTAGTATGTGAGTTATTGATTTTTAGTGAAGTTGTAGCATTTTTAGGGTTCATCACGTGCAGTTGAATATCTTCCACCTGAAAATATGTTACATTTGAAGACATTTCAGTTATACTATTTTGTACTGTTTTAGCGGATAGTGGCAAATCTTTGATTTTTTTCAAGATTCCTGGTTTGTTTTTGAAATCACGAAACAGTTCTTCAGATGCACGTATGAAGCAATCTTTGACATACTCACCATCTGTGAATGATTTGCCTTTTTTTGCAATTTCTAGTGATACCGCCAAGCTTGCCAAATTAACATTACTTGTAGATTGCGTCCAGTTCCGATGGACTGACGACAGTGACGACGCATGTCACGGGGGAGGGGTGCGGTGAAAAGCGAGTATATGTGACTGAGAAATAGAATCGGTGCCTAATCCTCGTTAATTGCTTCAGAACGATTTTTAACGAATTTTTTTTTTTTTTTTTTGATAAAATAAATAATATTTGCGTATGGAACTAAAGAGCCGCAACTTCACATCCAAAGAGCCGCATGTGGCTCGCGAGCCGCAGGTTGCCGACCCCTGACCTAGGGCAAGGGTCGGCAACCTTTTGAGTCGGAAGAGTCAAAAATTACAATTGACAAAATTTCAAGGTTTTTAAAGAGCCACAACATTTTTTCTTGCCAACAATAAATAGTACTCGCATAAATAAAATTTTTTGATAAAAAAAAACTAATCTATTTATTCATAAGAAAAAAATGTCTATTTATACATATATAAGTAGTGTTTTTCACAACAAATTAGATAATATATATATGGCATTATTAGATAATTATTTATTATTATTTAAGTAAAACATTAAGTATTTACTTACAACACTAACTAGAACTTCAATAACAAACAATTGAGCAAACAAATTCAATGGGAGCGATGGCTTTGCATAGTTATTCAAGTAGAAAATTTAAACTTTACTCAACAATGTAACTTGTACTTAAAATAAAAAAAATCAATAACATACAATCAAAACAAATTCAATGGGAGCATTGGCTTTGCTTTTTTTTAGAAAGTTTGGATAAATTTGGCTCATAACTTGTTGTTTTAAGTTTCAAACACGGCTCTAAATTTTCATTTGTTAGTTGGCTTCTTACTTTACTTTTAATTATATTCATGCAAGAGAACGCTTGCTCGCACCAATATGTCGATCCGAAGATAGTCAGCACTCCAAATGCCAACTTCTTCACCTCACTGTAGTAATCTGGAAGACTATTCCATGCGTCGAATATAAGTGCCTCAACTCGCGGCATTTCTTTTAAAGTTGTCCACTTTTGTTGCGTTACGCACATACATTTCTGGACCTCCAACTCTTCCAACTTGCTTTTCACTTGCTTTCCACTCCACAAAGCTTTACTTTTTAAATCGATCAATTGCGTTTCTAGAGATCCAGTATCAATTCCAAATGGCTCAATGTGGATTTCGTTACTATTTGTGTTGAGAGGATTTACTATGAATGCTAGAGTGGTTTTGCTGGTTTTGAATTGCTCAAATCTGTCAGCAAATTCATCTTTAATTTTTTTTTATAACTGTGCTGAAGTACCTCGTGTCAACAATTGCACTGGTTTTATCGCGATATTGCTTTAGAAATTGAAAATGAAGTAGCTGAGAGATAGAATCGGTACCTAATCCTCGTTAATCGATTCAGAACGATTTTTAAATGTTTTTTTTTTTTTTATAAAATAAATAATATTTGCCTATGGAACTAAATAGCCGCAGCTTCACATGCAAAGATCCGCATGTGGCTCGCGAGCCGCAGGTTGCCGACCCCTGACCTAGGGTATCGTTGAATGTGCTAGAGCGGTGTCATTCATTTAAAAATGAAATTGAATTTCAAAAAAGTTATTTTCATTTTTGTTGACCCATTTATGCCATGAGCACATCTTTTTCTCAAGACATCTGTGTCAGCAGAAAGCAATGCTCGAATTGAATGTGTCAATTGCATTTCAAAGGTTACCTCTGAAGCGGAGAGGAAGGAATATTGATATCTTTTTTTTTTCTTTCTAATGCAGCTGGCAAACACTTAGACAGCTTGGTCTTGGCCTTAAGCTCAGCTCAGCTGGCCTTAAGGCAAGCGCTGCATGGACGTTACTCACTTTGCATTACCCAGGGGGCGCGTGTCACTTGAAGATAAGCCACGGAAGCGGAGTCACAATGCCCCCGCAATGCTCTACGATCCTATTAGGACCGGGACCTACGGTTTAAAGTGGATTCCGAACCACTGCAAACATCCATGGCACCGCCGGGACTCGAACCCGAAACCTGTAGTACCGAGCGCCAGCCACTCGGTTATTCAGGCCCATATTTATATCTAGAATGTTCTAAAATGTTACAAATAAATTAAATTTTAATTATCAGAAAAATTGTGTGATTTTTAAATTTTTTTTTTTTAATGCACATAAAGCTGGGATGGTGACAATTTTGAAATGTTATTTGATATATTTCTCACGTCTCAATCAATATATCAATAAACATAATATAATCAGTGAAAATACAATTTTTTCTTAATATCTCTACAACCATTTTTCTAAAAATTACCAGTGATTTATTTTAATGTCTTTTTTTTTATACAATAACCCCTAAGTATAATTTCTAAACAACTATTATTACAAATAAGGTAATTAGGTACTTACGTATTAACGCTATCTTGGCTACAGATTTGGCAGTTTTTAAGTGTCGCCAATCTAACAGCTACAGATTTGCTGATTTTTGACGCCACTTTTTAGTGCTAGAAAATGCCTGTCGGCCTGTTTTCCACTGAAATCTGTTTGACTACTTTGAGTTTAAATAAAGTGTTTTGAATTTTGAAAGCGTTTTGATTTTAAATGAAGTGTTTTATATATTTTATTATTTGGAACAAAAATTTTAATTGTAGATTGGCGCCACTTAAAAACCGCCAAATCTGTAGCTGCGATTGGCGTTCAAGAGATAACTGCGTGCGCGTGCGAACAACAAGATTGCTCTTTATTGGCGCAACTGTAGCCAAGGTGGCGTTAATACGCGAATATCGGTCATTAAGCAAATTATAATTATTGAAAGAATTCTTACCTCTTGGTCGGGTTCGGCCCATTCCATGGTGACCATGTCTCTGTTGAACAGGCGCACTCCGCCGGACAGGAAGATTCGTCTGGCGAGACAGGCTGATCGGTGGGACTCGAACTCGACGTGGACCACCCCCAGGTCGCCCTCCTGCGACGGAGGCAGGCTGACCTCTTTTATTCCTCCCGCGTAGGCGCTCAGTTCCCGGCCTATTTCATCGCTGGTTTTGTGCAAGGGGACGTAACCTATGCGCAAGCTGCGATTGTCCACCGACCTGACCACGCTTATCCTGGCATTCGGCCTGATCTGGTGTCCGTCGAGTGCCATGATCGCCCTGTGCGCGTCCTCCCGAGCGGCGAAGGTGCAGAAGGCGAACCCCCTGCCGCGGCCACCGATGTCCACCATGAAGCGGAACTGGTAGACGGGACCTACTTGCTGGAAGGCGGACAGCAGCTCGTCCTCCGACACATCAGTGGGCACACCGGCGATGAACACCTCGCATCCCCTGGGGGGCGGTGGTCCCCGCCAATCGGCAGCAGGGCCGCAGATCATCTGGCCACGCGACCGGACGAATCTGCCACTCTCTTGCACAACGGACATGTCGGACTAGCTAACTATCCTCTTATAATAATAACTAACTCTCCTCTAACTACCAGCTAACTATCCTCTTATAATAATAACTAACTCTCCTCTAACTACCAGCTAACTATCCTCTTATAATAATAACTAACTCTCCTCTAACTATCTATCTAACTACCAGCTAACTACCCTCTGTGACATCTGCTCTTCGAATCGAAGCCCTGAACAAATAAACAAAGCAACACGTGATACTCGGCCACTCCCATTCCCCATGGTTCCCACGGCTCGGTATGTGTACATCTCACTGGCGACGCCGACGAGTGTTGATGATTCTTCGTGTTGTGTCTCTTCGGGTTTTTTTTTTCTTTTTTTTAAATCTTTTCAGAGCTACAACTGCCGCTGAATGTTGGCGTATCCCGTGATGCTAGGTTGATTTCACATAATGTATTAATTTTCGTAGAGCACAGAACTAAATGAATATATTTTATACATCTTCCATAAAATCAGGATATCACTTTTGTGTTGTAAATGTGTGTCTGTTGCCTATTCAAGTATGCATTCAACGTTAAGAAATGTAATTCATGATTCTTTTTGTGCAAGTATCATTATTATTTATATACAGTAGCCAAAAAGTTTTGATATGTTTTTGAAAGGAATACTTCAAACAAATTACAATACGCAGACATGCAGCCTGTGATATTTGATTACAAGATATTTATTATTATTAATACGCTTTGATTAGTTTCGTCTGTATGGTTGTAACTGACTCTTTGGGCTCGATTTTGCCCTACTTTAAGTGATCCGATTTAATTTAAACTTTGTGAACTTATCAAGGACCGACGACACTAAAATAGTTTGATCAGTTTATTATCTCATCATGATTAGGATCGCCAGGATGAGTGATTTTTTATTGTAACTTATGAAGAGCAATTTAACCCATGTAGAATTGAAAATACCTTAGACATCCAAACCTACGTGGGACAGTGGCACAACGGTTAACGCGCCTGACTACGGATTAGGAGATTCCTTGTTCGAGACACGGCTGGCTCGTCCTGTTCGCATTTAGCCTTTCTTTTACTCACAACTAAATTATTGTAAGAACTATAGTTCCAATCCTCCGTACCGGGACCTCATTTATATATTATAGTTTAAAAACACTAAAAAACACGCTTTTAGAGTTAATCAAAGTAAAAAGTAAAAAATAATTGTTGACATAAGAATAAAATGACCAACGAGAAAATGAATGTCACTGTTCTAAAAGCGCGGGGTGCTTTGTATGACATTTTTAAACTAACTCTGCATTTCGGAATAAAACGAGTGAAAAATTAGAACGATTGATATCGAGCACCCCACGCTTTTAAATATATTTTTTTTTTCCAATGCAGCTGGCAAACAGACATGGACATCTTGGATGCCGTAAGGCAAACGCTGCACAGACGTTACTCACTTTGCATTACCCAGGGAGCGCGTGTCACTTGAAGATAAGCCACGGACGCGGAGTCACAATGCCCCCGCAACGCTCTACGATCCTGTTAGACCGGGACCTACGGTTTAAAGTGGATTCCGAACCACTACACACACCCATGGCACCGCCGGGACTCGAACCCGATACCTGTGGTACCGAGCGTCTGAGCGCTAGCCACTCGGCCATTCAGGCCCCGTATTTAAATATAAAACATTTAAAACTCACGCAGTGACGGATTGAGTAATAAGAGAACTCTTTTGTTCCAGTGAATGCGTGCGGCCTGGTGGCCAAGTGGCTAGCGCTCTGGTGCTCGGTACCGCAGGTTTCGGGTTCGAGTTCCGGGCGGTGCCATGGATGTTTGTTGGGTGTTCTGAATCCACGTTAAACTGCAGGTCCCGGTCTGTTTAGCCCTCGTGCGCACAAGATGACCGTAGAGCGACAAACCAAACCAGTGAATGCGTTGACTCATTCTTGGCTTAGCGTTCAATTTATCACGGAAGTCAACCCACTTCGATTTTCGATAGAGTCCAGCACTGCAGTCACTATAGTGAAAAGGGAACGAAGCTTCTCTTATAGACACAAATTATCTGGCAAAAGTTTTCGAGTGTTTATCTCATACGACACGTAAATGAAGCTCGAATTTCTCCAAAAAGTCCTGCTGAATAACACCCCATTCTTCAGAGATATGAACTGTTATCGTAAGATTGGCCTGTGAAAAGGGAAACATCCGTCTTAAAAGCGGAAACGGATGAATCGATTTCTTGTAAGGGGTGCTATTTAAATAGACGCAGTGCAAAACAATTTGAAAGAAAAAAGTTTAATAGTTATTGTAGAATTTTTTTTTTTATTCATTTTCGTTTTCATTTTATATAATTTGGAATTTTAATGATTAGAAAGTGGAAATGTAATTTAAACACCGCCGAGAATTTCTTTCGCCTCCTTTACGTTGTTCTGTTTCAATCCGTCTGCTTATTTGCCACATTCTGGTTCAGTGGATCGATTACGAGATATTGCGCAATTCATTTTGTCACTTTATGATTTTATTTAAAACAATATCACGCCTTTTACAAAAATTCTATAAAAATTTTTTTTTTTTTAAATTGAAGGAAATCAAATAAGCTCATCTTCTTTATTAAAAATTTTTATATTGATTGAAATGTGTAGTTATCTGAATCCTAAAAACTAGCTTGGATTATGGAAAACTAGCCTAAAACCTGAATTTAAAAAGCAGGCTTTTAAAACATTAAAAATCAGTTTCATGACTTTGCCACTGTCAGTAGCAGAGTCATGAAACCGAACTGGATATTTTATTCCAGTGTTTCTGTTAGGGCCAATCGAACATATCACCATTGAAGATGCGACCAGCAACAGTAAAAATACTGAAGTAGTATCACCCATCGAAATATGACAACACCTTCATTTTTACGTGGCCTTTTAATGTTTGAATGCAGCTTTGCCTTGATGAACTATCCATCACACAAACATTCCAATTGTAAGCAAAGGAAAAGATTAAAATGTTGTGAATGCAGATTACAAATATTAATACAAAGTGAAGCGAATCTTTTCGCTAACGACATTCAAAGGTTATAACATTTTAAAGTTCTTAGATATTTTGATCAATCGTTTATTTTCTGATATATATATATATATATATATCCTGTATGAACATGATATTGTCCTGATTAGGGGTTCGTGGCGCAATCAAAAAAGTGCAGCAAGCAAATAAAGTGATATTCCAAATTTGCAAATTTGGGTGGAAAAATGGCAGTTTGGACCCCTTAACTCTTGAAATGATTCATGATTAACGTTAATCCTCTGGAATTTTCTGGAGAATTTGTCTTTTGCTTCAAGTGCTTTGTCGTATGGTTTTGAAGCACTTTTCACGTTTTGGCTCGGGATTTTAAACATTTGTATATCCAATGGCTATAAGTAGTCGTACTCAATTCTTTCTGCTTGGTTTCATATTTGGTATTTCCCCATGCCTATTGAGCTGTATAGTGCTTCTTATTGTACTTGGAATGCTACATTCTTCAGTTATGCCTAGAATTTTCAAACTTTTGATATATTTTCTTGGCTATTGAATATGATAGTGATTCTTGTAAAATTTGGAATATTTCATACTTCATTTATGCCTAGAATATTCACATTTTTATATATTCTTTTGGGTATTGTATGAATGCCTCATTCATCATTTATGCCTAGAAGTTTCAAACTTTGATGTATTCTTTTGGGTATTGAATGTGATAAATTTTCTTGTAGAATTTGGAATATTTCATTCTTCATTTGCGACGACATTTATCTTACTTTTGTGTTCGAGATTCTATATTTTCTTTTCCCCACTTTCACAAAACTAGTTCTAAAAAACAACACGCCCCATGAAGGAGGGGCGAAAAAAAAAAAATGCACTGTATGTTCAGTTGCTTCAAATGGAAATTTTCCTTTTAGGATTTATGTTTTAACGAAATATTGGTTTTTAAAGGTTCATTTATTTAGATCGTAAATGCCTTCTTTTTTTTTAATACGCTTTTATTAGTTTCACCTGTATGCTTGTTTGTAACTGACTCTTTGGGCTCGATTTTGCCCTACTTTAAGCTATCACATTTAATTTAAATGTTGTGGTCTTATCAAGGACCGACGACACTAAAATATTTTGATAAGTTTATTATCTCATCACGATTAGGATCGCCAGGATGAGTGATTTTATTTTAACTTATGAAGAGCAATTTAACCCATGTAGAATGAAAGCATTCAGTAAAAAACCTCATTTAAATATTATAGTTTAAAAAAACTAAAAAACAAGCTTTCAGAGTGAATCAAACTAAAAAGTAAAAAATAATTGTTAACGTAAGAATAAAATGACTGACGAGAAAATGAATGCCACTGTTCTAAAAGCGTGGGGTGCTCGATATCCATCGTTATCATTTTTCACGAGTTTCATTCCGAAAAGTAGAGTTAGTTTAAAAATGTCATACAAAGCACCCCACGGCGGCAGTTTTGATTAACTCTAAAAGCGTGTTTTTTAGTGTTTTGAAACTATTAATTTATTTAACAACAATCTTTTTTTCTATTCTATAATAGTTCCATTTATTTTCGTATTTTGCAGAAAGAAGAATAAATTTTTTTTATTAAAGTATGCTCATATTTTGGAATCGAAATTCGGTTTCCTTTTTGCAACAGGACCTCTTTAAAAAATCCTCTATTTTTGTCTTTCGTTGCATCAAAAGATTCCTTCCCGCTCTGACATAGTTCTCTCGAATCGGAAACAAAAAGAAATGAGTTTTAAGAACATTAGCGATTCATGTAAAATTTAAAAAGAAATCAATACCAAAATGAAACTGATAATATCTCAGAAAAGAACAATTGGCTAACGCTCTGGCGCTCGGCACACACAGGTTTCGGTTTCGAATCCCGGCTGTGCCATGGGTGTTTGTAGTGGTTCGGAATCCCCTTTAAACCGTAGGTCCCGGTCTAATAGGATCGCAGAGTGTTGTGGTGGGGATAGTGTGACTCGCGTCCGAAGCCTATCGTCAAGCTACACGCTGTCCCTTGGATAGTGCTCGATGAGTAACTGCGATGCAGCCCTTGCTTACGGCATAAAGATTAACTGTCTCTGCATTGCCAGTTGCATTAGAAAAAAATATTTTAAAAAGGGGGCAAATATGCACGAGATTTTATTCCACAGGTTTGTTAATCAAAGTTTATAGGTAATATATATATAAAAGAAAATTCCGGACTGATATTGGGGAGAAAATATCTTTTTCTCACCATTTTCAAAATCACTGGAAATTTTCGATAAAAATTCACCATTTTAAATCACTAATAACTATCACAAACTAATAAAATAAAAACCATTCGAAAGCTTCAAAATACTGAACTAAGGAATGCGAATCCATGGAAAAACAAATTTTCCCATGGAAAAAGTGTCTTTTTTTTTTGTTAGAAATAAACAATTGCTTTAGCTACGAAGTGTGCTGGCGTGCACACATGTAGCTTCATATATTTGCTGAGAATTTGTAATGAGGAAAATTAATCCTACCACAAAATTCTAACTGAGTGTAAGGATAGCAGAAATTCATGGCGCTTCAAGAAATAACAGAAAGAGTCCAGACAATCAATTTTCGTTTTCCTGCTAACATTTCAAGCACGCTGTGGGACGTCTTGAAGTCGGCATGTCATTGACAGCAACTCATACTGTCTGAAATATCACTCTTTCTATAAATAACGGCAGAACTCACAACTTTTTAATAACAATTAACTGTGCAGTGCGATAAAAAGCAATTCAACTTTTTTTTGTATACATGTATATGTATATATATATATATATACACCCAAAGAGCCAAAACATTATGACCACCCCTACATTTTGCAATGAACTGAAGCAAAACCGGAGCCAGACAGTGGCTCAGCTGACAGCCCAATACAATGCAGGGCCAAGTAGAATAGTATCGGAGCACACTGTTGGATATGGGGCTACGTAGCAAACGTCTCACTCGTGTGCCTTTGCTGACCAAGCCTCATCGCCAACTGCGCCTGCGCTGGGCCCGGGAACATCGTGACTGGTCCATGGATCAGTGGGAGAGAGTTGCCTG